GCGAATTGTTGAAATCGAGATGAACGAGCCTCTCCGGAAATTACGAGATCGACGAAATTTGTTATCTCCCGGTAACAATATAACGATAGTGATCACAAATTAGATTTCTCGTTGATATTACGTTGACGTTAATATTTCTTTGTTCTTCATACGTAATTAGATCTCCGACCAATGATCCCAGGATACTCTTAATTCCAAATATAAATATCGAAAGTTTCACTTTTATTTACATACGGGGTGGAGTCAGTAGTAAAGGGACAAATTACTCTAATAGATTTGTCCCTTTACTACTGACTTCGCCCATATATAAAATAAACTCAAAGATGGCATCTGAAATTTCGAATGCTCATGATTGTAGCGAATGTGCTCGTTGTCTAAACAGTTACGAACTACTGCAACAAGTGTTCAGTTCACAATACCAATGAGGGCTGCTATCCAGTGACTAAAATTGGAAAAATGTCACGGTGGTTGGATCTGAGGGTCAGAATATGCACACAAAAACTGATTTTCACTAACGCTAAGTACTGTACATGGAATACACAAATACGATAACGATAATACATGTACGTACTATCAATCATCGTTATATCAGTGTTTAAAATCCATTTAAAAATTAATCTGCGCACCCACATAATTTCAACTAATCTATCTGCGCAAACTTTCCACCTCATTGGTCAATGATCTATCCGGCTTCCGCTTTTTCCGGGTACGATCAGCGTTTAAAATTGACCTGCACAGTCTGCGCACCGCAGATTGGAGACTGGTTGCACAGATAAAAAAATTCATAATAGTATGAGGCATTGATATTATGTCATGCGCATATTGAGATTAAAGTATGAATTTTTATCTGCGCCACCTGCAATTACTTTAAAAAATTCCGCGGTGCGCAGATTGCGCAGGTCAATTTTAAACACTGTTCGGCATACCGATACGTACGTACTATTATACCGATGCGTATAAGGGCTGCACGTGTGTAACAATATCTGGAAGTAAAAAATCCGTACTGTGGTGTTGACAATTGGACAATTTAAAAGTGATAACACTATTAAAGCGACTTTATCCAAAGCATTTCTGTGTTCCTTAGTAAAAAAAAAATGAATAAAATTATTGCAAACTCATTTGTCTCTAAATTGATCGTAAAATTCAATAAAAAGGAAAACGATTCAGTTATCGAAGAAATATATATTTTCTTTGATAAAACGGTTCATACTTCACAAGATTTAAATGAAGCTGCAAATAAAATGCGAAAAATTATTGAAGAATTAACAGAAAACACGCTTGAATGTAAAAAATTTTTGCAAATCTTAAAGTCGAATATTCTATATAAAGTTTTGTATGGATTTTTACATCATTTTGGGATCAAAATTGAACAGAATTTTGAAATTGCTTTTAAATTTTATAAAAATTCAGCAAAGAAAAATAATGCGATTGCTCAATATCTACTGGGATTTTGTTACTACAATGGGGTTGGTATACTTGAAGATAAAAGCAAGGCCTTTGAGTGGTTTTTGAAATCAGCAAAGAGGGGAGATGCTAAAGGACAATGCACTCTTGGCTTTTGTTATCAAAATGGTATTGGGACAAAAAAAGATGATATAAAGGCATTCGAATGGTATTTGAAATCAGCTGAGAATGGATATGCTAGAGGACAATTCAATCTCGGTTATTGTTATGATAAAGGTATAGGAACTCGAAAAGAGCATTTGAGTGGTATTTGAAATCGGCAAAGGGGGGAGATGCTAGAGGACAATGTAACCTTGGTTTCTGTTATCAAAATGGTATTACGATTCAAAAAGATGATATAAAAGCATTCGAATGGTATTTGAAATCAGCAGATGGTGGAAATGCTGGAGGACAATGCAATCTTGGCTTTTGTTATCAAAATGGTATTGGGACAAAAAAAGATGACGGAAAAGGATTTGAGTGGTATTTGAAATCAGCTGAGAATGGACATGCTAGAGGACAACGCAATCTCGGTTATTGTTATGACAAAGGTATAGGAACTCGAAAAGACGAGAAAAAAGCATTTGAGTGGTATTTGAAGTCGGCAAATGGGGGTGATGCTGAAGGACAATGCAATCTTGGTACCTGTTATCGGAATGGTATTGGGACGCAAAAAGATTGTGAAAATTCATTCGAATGGTATTTGAAATCGGCAGAAGGTGGAAATGCTAGAGGACAATACAATCTCAGCTATTGTTATAAAGAAGGCATGGGAACTCAAAAAGATGAGAAAAAAGCTTTTGAATGGCATTTGAAATCAGCCGAGGGTGGAGATATTAAAGGACAATTTGAACTTGGTTTCTATTATCAAAATGGTATTGGAAGACAAAAAGATGATAAAAAAGCATTTGAGTGGTATTCGAAATCAGCAGAGGGAGGAGATGCTAAAGGACAATGCTATCTTGGTATATGTTATCAAAAAGGTGTTGGGACACAAAAAGATGTTTCAAAAGCATTTGAGTGGTATTCGAAATCGGCAGAAAGTGGAGATAGTAAAGGACAATGCCATCTCGGTTCCTTTTATCGCAAAAGTATTGGTATTAGTTCGCAAAGAAGAATAGGTTGGATGCCAAGTACTTCAAGAAATAAGAAAGCATTTGAATGGTATTTGAAATCAGCAGAGGGGGGAAATGCCAAAGGGCAATACCATCTTGGCTTTTGTTATCAAAATGGTATTGGGACTCGAAAAAATGTTAAAAAAGCATTTGAGTGGTATTTGAAATCAGTAAATGGAGGAAGTGCTAAAGGTCTATTTCATCTTGGCTCCTGTTATCGAAATGGTATTGGAATGCAAAAAAATGACAAAAAAGCTTTGAAGTTGTATTCAAGATCTGCTGAATCTGGGGTTAAGTCCGCTCAATTCGAATTGGCTCAATGCTATCAATGTATATTTGGAGTTTCAAAAGATCTTTTTATGGCGTTGAAATGGTACAAAAAAGCTTATCAAAACGGTCATTCTCTAGCGAGAGAGCATATAAACAATATATTCATTTTATAACAATTCTTTATTGTGTGGTGGAGAACACAAATATGTATTCAAATAAATAGAGGTTTTCAAAATTTGGAAACGTCGTTTGTTCTTTGAGAATGAATAACAAATTATGTTTAAATTCAATTTCATTTAAAACATATTTGTATCCACCACTTCATGTTAACTTTAGCACATTTAACTATTTATTATTATAACTATGAGGTATTAAGTAAGATCGCGTATATAGTCATATCTCCAAATCACAAATAGTGCGAGATATGTAAATGTATAGGTTGACCTCTTTACGTTTATACTTATGAAGCTAAACATATATACTGTACTATTATTTTCTATTTACAAAATAAACGGATTTTATTATAATTAATTGTAAATACAAGTGTGAAATATATATTCTTATTTTTAATATATTTAATGGAATATAATATATTAGTAAAAATGTTGCGTAACTATGCGGTGAGTGGTTTGTACATGTAGTTCAATAGTTTTAGCTTAGTGAATATCTTTAATATAATCGAAATATTATACCTTCTTTTGACTAAAAAAAACTATCAATATAACGAATACCTCTGGTAAATAAGAAAAAATTTTTAAAATGCTCATTATAATGTTTATATGATAATCTTACTATTCTTCTGTAAATTCTGTAAATACTGATTTCTTATAACGCGACTTTACTTAATGACCGTTATACAAAGAAGTCTACACAGTGATTCTCATTAAATCGGGAGCTAGAATGAAGGGAATTTATCTGTTTAATTGAGATATCTGGTTGAGGTTCTTATGATTTCCCAAATAAATACAGTTAATTGAGACATATTAATTCGTGTTTCATCTAAGAAGTATATATTTCATTGGTTTTATTGATTGGCATCCACGAATGAAGGAGAATTAAACCACAAATCTGCATTTTCGTTTAAGTGTAGTCTCTAAATTTTTAACCAATTGGCTTGAGATCTTTATTAAAAAACTTTGAGATTTAAGCTTTTTATTTCACCTAGTCAATATAAATTTTATAAGTATAAAAATACAAATTTGATTTACAAATAATGTCAAATAGTCAATTTTGTGCGAATTTGCTTCACAATTTTTGTTCTAAGATAATTTACACATATATTAGTTTTTAATATATATTAATTATATTTTAATATTAAATCTCAAAGTTCCAAATATAAAAAAATTGTAAAATTTTTGCTTCGAACACTAACGTTAATGTTAATGCATGTTGTTGGGCACTCGTAGTACAAACAAGATTTTATAGATCCATTTAATAAGATTTTAATGAAATCATTGAAAATTAACGTGAATCTGGTAACAAGGGATTGTATTAAATATCGCAATTACTAACTGGGAAAATTTTGAAAATATAAATATTATACTAAACTCAGAGAGAATAATTATTTTTATTGACATGGATGAACTGTTTGCTATGGCTGGACTGCTTAATTCTTTGAATCGACTAGTTATCAATGGCGATAATGTTGTTAATAGTGTCGTTCCCGATATTATCACTGTTATCAATGGTGACATTGATGTCGATGTCGATGTCGGTGATGCCACTGTTTTAATTAACGATGTTGTCACTGATGTCGTTAGTTCAGTTGTCACTGTTGTCAATGTCTCGTCTCTTCTCCATTTCACGGGCATTGTAGCAAAAGCAAAATTGTTAAAGAAGAGAATGGAAAGAATAAGCATTAAATTAAGGTGTTTCATGACGAATTTGAAAAATGTTTATTATTCTCGTTATCGGATATAGAATTAACGACGTGAATCAGGTGGTGTAGTTTGATCCGTTATTAATTTTTTCTTATTCTTTATTTTATTCCCAAGTACGTACGTAGTCATAATAAATATTTTATTAATCGATTGACCATACCACGTACTCCGAAAATAAGCTACCCTTTTAAGCTCAAAAAATGAGGATGTAGCTTATTTTCGGGGTTACATTTATGGTACATGTATTGAATTGAATATTATATCGATATCACATAACTAACAATTGGATAGATTTTCGGCAATACACGGTATGTGACTAGCGTATACAAGTATAGAACGAGTAATTTCTCATTGTCTTACTTTAAAAGAAGAATTTCCTTTATTTCAGCGTCGTTCTATCGGAGTATTCGATTGGGGTGTAGAGTAGCACAATAATCACAATTACGTATATGTATACGTAGTTATCACATATTTTAATATCGATGTCGATATCGATATGCAGAAAAAACGTTTGTTTGTTTATTCTACATAAAAAAAAAAAGCGAATCAAGATTTGACTAAATGTATTTCTGCTACATGTAGCTCGTAGAACGACGACAATAACTAAACTAAACAATTATGTGTTGTGCAAGTTGAGTACATGATAATTAGGTAAAATTGTTTGGACAAGTGAAATTTTTAGGCGACAAACAAATTAGCAAAAGGATTGTGTTAAAATCTACCGTTACTGATTTACCACAACAAAAAGCCAGCTTAGAAGCCACTACTGGCTTTGAAATTTGTGGCACATTTATCCAAGACATCGAAAGAATCACAAAAACCTGTTCCAAAAATTGCGAAAGGTAAAATATTAAAACTGCAAAACATATTAACAGATAAATTGTTGAAGAAGACCAAATATTTATGCATAAGTAGCCTTAAACGCAAAATTTTCTTTCTTAAATATCGATTCCTTATCGTAATTATCAAAATCTTGGGTTATCGTTATTGTTTATATGCAATAATTTGAAGAAATAGTACGTGTAATTGTGAGTTTTAGTTAAACAAAAAATATATTTATTTTAAGGAAAACTAGTAATAAATGTATGGATAGACAAAATAAATTATTAATAATTCTTGCTTACACATGTATTAAAAATGTTAGTTTTAAGTGCATCTATTTATACAAGAGAATAAATCGGAGTCTTGCAAATAAAAGTAGCATTGCGATGAGTGTTCAGTTCACATTATTCATGATTGTAATGAACGTACCAAATGTCAAAACAATGGGTACTGTTATGGATGTTTTTCTATATCACAAACGAATTTATGTTGAATGGTCTAGCGGAAATAAAGATATTGAATGCGACAGAATTGCTGGTGAAATTATTACACAATTCAAAGAAAATTATATCAGAGTTTATAAACGAAGTAAATAAACACCTTTTAAGTGTAAGCATATTGCTTTTTTATGTTTCAATATAATTAACTTTTTCAAAATCAGATTCTGACTGCTCTAAAGTGCAGTTATGGAATAAGTTATTATGGAATAACTAATCACCCAGCTACATATAATACTCGACAGTAATGACTTATGCAGAAGATGGTGATCTACGCAAATACATGTATATCGATATTGAATACCAACTACAGTCGACTTTCGATATAACGACGTGCAGATTCTATTGAATTTATATTGTTTACAATGGGATCTGCACATCGTTATATCGATGTACGTACTTGAATTGGAAAATATTTATGTGATATTACTCGAGGGTTGAATAAAATCCACAATGAGAAATTTGTGCATCGTGACTTTCACCTGGAAATATATTAGTATTATCGTACAAGACTGCTCATATTGCTGATTTTGGACTTAGCAAACCAGCAGATATAGAACAATCTAATCACGAAATTTGCGTCGTACTTCCTTATGTGAGTCCAGAGGTGCTAAATGGAAATCCATACACTAAAGCTGCAGATATTTATAGCTTTAGGATGATTATGTACGAGATTATCATAGGTGAACGACCATTTGGTGAAGAAGTCATGATATACACCTCGTATATAACATCTATAATGGAGTACGACCTATGATACCAAATAATGTTCCTTTATTTAAGTTTATTATTGAAAAATGTTGGGATCCTATTCCAGAAAATAGATTAACTGCTGAGGAACTCGAAGACTTTATCGAATCTATCAAACGTGGATATGCGACAAAGTTGAATACTTTGCATTTTCAGTACTATAGCTCTTCAGGATATTCTAAGACAAATAAAAAAATCATTGAGTGTTTTGAATTAGAACAGAATAAATTAAATGAACTTGATAAGGGGATGAAATTAAAAAGAAGCATTCCTGCAAATACGAACGATAAACAAATACATGTACACTCTAATGCAATCTACACCAGTCGAATCTTACCAGAAAATTAATTTCAATTCCAACTGAGACAGGTTTTTTATTTTGAAATATAAATCACTAATGACATTTCATAATAATTAAAATTCATACCATATGTATAGGAATGTCAAGTGTCAGTTTATTTGTTCCAAACGAAGGTAAATTACATTTATTATTTTTTCTTTTATTCAATATTTTTTTGTGTGCAAAACAGATTTCGATTTTAGTATACCACATAAAATCAAAAGATATCGGTTGAAAAACTACAGACTCATGATGAACCACTTCCAACAAAGTATATACATATATATACATATATATATATATATATGTATACTCTAGACTTTATTAAAGTAAGTTGACAACAATAATAATTGTATCTTTTTGTTAACTGTGTCTCGAATTAAAGCACAACAACCAAAAGCAGTTTTGCTTTTTTATCAAAGTTTATTTATTTAGATAAAATTTATTTTACTTAGGATCTTTTATACTATTGTTTATTCGTTTGATTGCTATGTTTACTACATGAGACTAGAAATTTAGAGTTTATATTAAAGCAAAATTCGATGTAGATATTGATATGTATTATCTCTACGTATCGGTATGTCTTTATAGAACTTAACGTATTACTCGCGTAAAAATTTCGCATGAAAATGCCGGTCACATTACGCCTACAACATGCATTTGAAAGAAGAGCCTTTTATTATTTACACACAAATAGAATTCATAAAAGGCTTCTTTTATCGTTATGCGTTCTGTCTTAATTATCTTGCATAACAATATCGATATCCAAATTTGATCTCAAACACATGTCTGAATTATTTATTGGTCCACAATGCGTTCCTGTGTTATTTTACAAACACAGACGGTAGAATAACAACACTTATAAATCATTTTTATTATTAAAACACTGAACTCAAAGATGGATTCTAATACTCATGGTTATAATGAATGCCTATCTGGTTACTGCAAAGGGTGTACCAAATGTCAAAAAATTGCAATTGCTATCGCAAAGTTGAATGGTCTAGCGAGAATAAAGATAAAATTTATACCGATACGATCTGGAGACGACAAAGAAATTGTGTTGAAATCCTTACATAATTAAAAGCAAATCACATGGGAGTTTATAAACGAGGTAAAATGAACCATTTCTAAAGTGTAAAAAGTTGCTTTTTTATTTTCCAATATAATCAAGCTTTCAAAAACATATTCAGACTGCTTAAGATGCACTATGAAACTTGTATTTAATACTAAAACCCAGCTACGAATATCCACAGAGAAATTTGTGCATCGTGACTTTCACCCTGCAAATACATGTATACCGTAAACTGTCGTGAATAAGCACCACTTTTTGGTTCTAAAAAATGAGGCGGTACTCGTTTCTGGACATTTCCTCACAATTTAAAATTATCACCATTTAAACGATTTTAGATATATTTTTGTTTAGTGGTGCTTATTCACAGCAGTTTACGGTATTATTGAATATTGGTGCTTTCATTATCGATTTTGGGCTTACCGGTCCAGCAGTTATAAAAAATTAATCAAAAAAATTTACAGAATACTACCTTATATTGGTCCGGAGATGTTTATAGTTTGGCTACGATATTGAAACAGGCAGACCATTCGGTGAGCGTAGTCATGATATATCTGGCATTAGATATCTATAAAGGAATACGACCTAAGATGCCAAATAATTTTCCCGGATGGTGCAAATTTATTATTGAAAGATGTTGGGATCCTATTCCAGAAAATAGACCAACGGTTGAGGAACTTGGAGACTTATCAACTCTATCTACGATACTGATAACATCTACGATGATGACGATAGTGACGATAACTTTGATGAGCGGGAACCTAATACTTTACAACGCTTTAGAATATCCTAAAACACGCAGGGCAATTAAGAAGTGTATTAAACTAGATAGGTAGAGATTTAATAAAATGAGATGGCATAGTAGTATTTTACACCAGTCAAATGTGTATTTCAAAATCAATATCCATTCTAACAACACTGTTATTTTTTATTTATAAATATAAATCACATTGATATGTCATATTAATAAAAAATATTTAGGCTCTACAAGTGTCAGTTTTTATGTTCAAACGAAGGTAAATATTTGTTTTTTCAAAAAAAATACAGTACTGTATTAGAAATCAATATATTAAAGACTTTTTTGTACACAATTCTACTAATGAATACGTAGATATCGATGCTGAATCAACAAGCATCTCAAACGAAGCAAATGAAGGCAAAATTACTATTTGATATTCCTTTTTATTAATTTATTTAATTCCTTACTATTTTTTCTTTTGATGATTCAAGACATTTAGATAAAATTAATAAGAATGAAGAGGTATCAATTCATGAAAAACGAGACAGAACGCATAAAAAAGAAGTTCTTATGACTTTTATCGTTGTGTGTAAATAATAAAATATCCTTTTTAAGATCGATAGAGTTGTAGGTGTAATTCTTATCAGTAACATATCACAATAAAATTTGAAAAATATTTCCAGTTTTGAAACTGCCAAAGCTAAAATTCAAAAGTAAGAAAAACAAGAAACAAAATAAAAGCTCTAAGGGTAGGAACATTAATCAAGTAAATTTTTTTGGGGGGAGACAAAGTCAGGTATATATTAACCAATCAGAATTTATTGCATTATTACGTATGTAATTCTGCATTATTATAAATTTCTGTATAAAAACTAGCCAATCAAATAAAATTAATGAAATTATAATCATTATAATATTTGATCAATATCAAATTTCCCCTCTAACATATATTCTTGATTCCTGAGGTATTTCGTTCAAAAGACGGAAGCACAGTAAATTCATCAATGATAGCCGAATTGGTTTCAATATAAGGTTGCTGATTTAGTTGTCTTCAGGTGGGCAAATTTTTTGTGTTTTGTGAGAAAACTATGCCTGGAAAATATTTGTCATAGGTCACACAGCAACGTTGAGCATGTGCATCAGCAGATGAACATCGTATCTAGGAATTTTAATACAATCTAAATACTCCAAGACATGAATAGCATTTATCGAGATATTCAACTATAAAAGGTCAGGTTCACAGGTTTGCAAGAGTTTGTTCAGCATATTTGAAATTGTAAAGATCCAACTCATAATCATGAACCTTTCTTCGAGAATCTAGGTGAGTTCCAAATGATCAATTGGTAAGGTAATTCCAGTCAGTTTCTTTGAAAGTATTATCATAATTCATTTCACAGAATTGTAAGCTGATTAGCCTAGTACATGTGTGCAAATATTGAGGTGATCCAAATTAAGATGGCAGAAAAGTCAACAATATTGATAAATATTTTTAAGTAATGTGAATTTTCATCAGGATCGTCATCTACAAGAGGAATCACAATGGCTTGACTACTCCGTGCCATTTAAAACTTTTATTATTTACCAAGGAACAAAATATCAGTGCATTATCAAAAAAGAACTTAAGTGTCACTGTACTCTAATAAATCGTGATTTGACTGTCTCAAACAGAATCATCTCCTTTTTTTTGGATTAATCATTAAATAATTGAAGGCACCAATTTTTTTCAATAGTGATCCGTATATAATTACTAAGTTGAGTCCTGATTATATAAGTCACATGATTTATAGTAATCATGTGGGGGAGGAATCTTACTATTACATACTTGATTGATGTCCCTACTTTAAATTGATATGAAATAAATTTTTAGCTCAAGGGGAATAAGAATGGAGTTATTAGTTTGTTTTGTGTAAAATGAAAAAAGCTTCAAAAATTCAATTATTACAAGAGCAAACACTTGAAAGATATTTTATAATTAACATATGACAAAACAATTTGCACTAAAATTAAAATTTTCTCTCTAATATAAAATATTTATTATTTAGCCAAAAGTAAGCAAAATATAATATCAAATTTATAATGTTCAATTTTAAACAAATAGATTATAATTAAAGAAAACAAAATATAAAAGAATAGTTTATAGGATAAAATATACAATTACGTGTGAAATGTTGACTTATAAAAATATATATCATGTTGAAATTTTTTAATAAACTGGAAGAAATTCATATATAATCTAAATTTCCTTGGATTGAACTTTGCGAAAAAATAGTCGGCTGAGATCGTGGAAGCATCTGCATATATTCGGGATAAATTGAAAAATTTGACTCAGACAGTGGAAATATTTGCATATTTCCAGTGATACTTTCGGGACAGATCAAAAAAGACATCTGAGACAGAGGAAAGATTTGCTTATTGTTATCGAGATAAGCGTCGTACGAATAGGAATGTTTTGTTGTGTCAGAAAATCCATCACAATAATTAGTGCACAATGAGGGAAAATCAGCTTTTTTAGAAAAAAAAATTATAAATTTAATAAGCGGAATAATAAAGGTTAATACAACAAAGATCCATTTTAGAAAAAACAAACCTTGCACAGGATTTGTTGGTCTTTTAGCATTCACAATATAAGTTCTAACTTCGTTAAATAAATTTTCAAAGTAGCTTTTTATATCTTTAGATGCATTTTTCCATGTTGCACTAGCAATTCTAGCGACATTATTTCGTTCCAGTCCACTGCCTTTAAGTATTGCTTGGATTGAAGTGAAAAATATTAAAAATTTGTTAGGAGTTTTGCCCAAGCAGCTTCGTTTTTTCTTTAGGATATTGTTAAATATATCTATCGCATCCGGAATTTCGGTATGTCCTTTAAAAATTTCTATTTCATGGAAACGTGTTGTTAAAATTAATAATTTTGAGAAATTGCCAAATGACACATTATGTGCGAGTTCAGTAAAATAGTTTTCGACATAGTTTTTGATAAGACTTTTACTACACTGTGACATAATGAAGTTGAGTATTTTGTATCGTGCTAAGAGAGAAGAGAGTATTGTTGAAAAAGTAAATTTTTGATGGAGGGATATGATTTTTTTTTACTTTTGTTTATTCTTTATATAACATCATTTTTTTTTATAAAAACGTGATTAAAATGTACGAACACTTGATAGAACATCAAAACCCGGAAATTTGATGCGAACAATAAGTTAATTTATATAGTAAATATAAAATGAATTTTTTTATTGATTGATAATAAGCTAATAAATATTCCGCTCAACACTTAAATCAAGCCTTAAAACATCTCATACAAATGAAATGATTTAAACAAAGAAAAAAGAAAGGTTGACGGGTTTAGTTTAACAATGAAAAAGATATAGTGCAATTTTTTTTTGGTATTCTTTTGAATAAAAATCAAGAATTCTAGTGTAAATTTTTTGCTAATTCGGCAAGGTTTAAAAATATAAAATAATCCAAATAAATTAAACAATGGAAAAAAGAAAAGTACATGTACATGTACTTAACATTTCATAAACGTGTTTAGCTTAACAAATGAAAAAGCACAAATAGAAACCAAGGAATTCAACATTTCAATTTTGAGCCAATCAGAGTCTCTCATAAGGAATCTTCAATCCGTTTTGATTGTAACGATAACGATAAAGTTTAGAGATATTATTTAATAAAGTACGGACATGTATCAAACTGGTTTGGTCTAAAATTATTGATTAGTGTCTCCGGATATATGGTGGATCATATTTTTACTGTGGGAATCAGTGAAAATTTACTATCGCTATGTATTTTTGGGATAGTTTTTGCATTCCCAAAATTTAGTAAATTTCACTGGTTCACGAATCTGATGATTACTTTAGTGGTCATTTTGTGCAACAAAACAATTATCTTCCTTGGTTTCTACTTGTGTTCCTATTTTTCTTCGAACAAAAACAAAGAATTTATGCAAACTAGCCAATTCAGAAAAGCAAAATAGTAATAAATTTCTGTTTCTCTAAAGAAAAAACTCACTTTTGGATGCTTCCAATTTTAATTATTTAGCCAACATAATGACAATTGGAATAATACGTACTACACAATCAGTGTCTAAATTTAGATTTTGAATTATCTCCGGTTAACAAGTTTTTTGTTTTGGTGGTTTGGCCACAGAAGTTAGATAAGTGGCATCTGCAACTTCTTTGAATTGGGTATTTACGGTTTATTAACTGCACGTTGCCAAATATCATACGTTTTTTTCAAGCTCCAGACCATTCGTAGCTATTATTGAATGCGTATTAAGCGTTTGCAGTTTATTTGGTTCAAAAATTCTATAAAAAAAATTGTGCTTGAATAACTAATTCAGTTATTGATTTTACTCTCCAAAAATGAAATATTCTGATATTATTTAATTCCTCCTCCTGACAATTGCCAAGAATATTTCTTATAATAATATTTACCTGGATGTTTAATCTTTTTCGTTCTGAATATCGCCAAAACACTACATGTAACAGTTTTTAAAAAAGATTTACAATTCAGTATTAGGAAATTTTTGACCTAAATTTCTAATCAAAGTTCTAGCAATCAGATAAAATTTTGGATTTTATTGACCACCACATAACTTTCATATACAGTCGTGGCCAAAAGTATCCGACCCCCCTTAACTTTCCGTAGATCATGTGTAATGCACCAAATTTTTCCGAACACAAAGAACATTACAAATGCTGATCATTGATACTTTTTATAGGTTGGTAGATTCTACTATATCGGATATTGTATGTTCATAAACTTTCATGTGACAAATATAATCAGTTATTTCATAACACACATCTCAATATTCAATAATCTAATTATTGACGTCCAGTGATCCGATTTGAACAAAAATACTAATATTCGATTCGTCTCGACTAGACGAATCGAATATTAGTATTTTTGTTCAAATCGGATCACTGGACGTCGAAATATTGCGTCTTAAAGTAGCAGCTTCATTTTTTTTGACAT